AAAAAAACGCATATGTTGTAATATCATATCCATGGAATGAGTCAAACATAGTCATGAATAGTTTGTGCAGTGGATTTCAATTTGTGTTCGCTGCTGCAATCAAGAAACTTGAGTTAGGAAGAGGTTTTGTACGTTCGTCTTCGGGAGTAGTTTTGCTCGGGCCTGACAATGTCAAACCGCTGGAGCTGTTCCACGCTGATGGATGGCTATAATCATGTGACCGCAGATGCAGACGCAGCATGTGAGGAAGAACTTCAAATCCGGAAAGAACTCGAGGACTAGGTTGAATTAACATTCATTATGAAATTTTGTCGTTTAGTGATCGATTGATGACCTTCCATCAGGAACTTCAGCAGAAGCTGGCCAGTCCAAGCAGTGCCCTGAAAGCCATCTCTGAGGCAGGACTCCCAATGCCCTTTTCTTTTCTTTGGGTCTGCCACTTGCGCAGAAACTTCATAGGCGGAGACCCAACCAGCAGATCTTGGTGACACTGGTGGAACTGCCAAGCCGGAAGAAGAATTTACCCAGCCCATTGTTGAAGTTGGAGTCTTACTTTATGGAAGTACGTGCAGTGTTGCTGTGGTAGTTGAATACGTACCTTGTGCACAGGTTCCCTCTCCTCCACCGATCTCAAGCGAGTTGTCCAACAAGGACTTGGTTGACCATATCCGCGTTGACCAGTATCACTCATTCTGGGTCAGGAGAACCAGCAGGAACCTGATCAAGGTGAATCCAAGGCTGCCGACCAGCAGGGAGTGAAGCGCAAACGGCCTCTACGTCCTTTGTCGCGCCGAGCGCCAGACTAAGTTTGGAGAAGTCTAACATAGTGTAACCCGCGTTTGTGATGCTCCCAAGGAATTGTTGAGGAACGCGGCCAAGGCAAGAATTGCGCGCATGATTCAAACCAAGAAGAAACGCACTGACTTATCTGTCCCTGGGTTTGTTAAAGAGCAGTGGGAAAAGGGGACTGCATCGAAAGACGAGCTGGCTCAACTCTTGATCGACGTCAACTGGGCGAAGGAGAGGTCCTACTCTTTTTATGACACATGTTTTCTCTCCATCACTTAGAGCAGGATACTTTTCGATTCATATATTTTTGTGCGCAGGATGCTTTTCTGTGCGAGCTGGAGCAGGTGATCAAGAAGATCAAGAAGATCCAGCTGACACGTGATGAAGGATGGTACTCAGAGGCTGAACTCAAGGAGTTGGGTTGGAGCGCGTCTGTACCTGAGTGCATTCTTGAACCCCACATCTTGGTGTATGTTGTGCAATCCCTTTCCCAGGTCTCGCATCAAGGGAGCCCGAGAGTTCTGTGAGAAGAATCGTGCTACTCATTGCAGGCATGTGTGATTATGATACTGATAATGCTGTTCAATTTCTTGATCTAGATTTCCTGTTTTTGGTTGTGTGCAGGGCAAACCGCTATGATGGTATCCAAGAGCTGTGGGTGGTGGTGCGCGAAACCGCTACTCATGCAGAGATCCAAGAGGTCTCGGAAACTCACAAATCGCGGAGGAAGGTGCCTTTCAAGTAGTCAAACTTGTGATATTTAAGGTCCTGTTCAATATGTTGCAGGATGTTTCTCAGTTTTTTTCTTGCGCATTCAGACTGTGGAGATCTTGCACGCAGGCTGATGAAGGTCCTCAGATTGCTGCTGATTCCTTTGCCAAAATTGATGCCTTTGCGGGACAGTGCAACAACACGGCTGTTGCTGAAGCAGTTGCTGTGGCAGAAGCCACAAGTGAGGCAGTGTTTTTGGTGCATTACTAAATCAAGCAAATTTTATTAAGAGACCAAAGGTTGCCCGCTTGCCCCTATAAAGGAATCTCAGATCTCAGAATATTCTCCAAGTCCAGTTTGCATGCTTGCTTGACTTTTGCTGCACATCCCCTGCAGCACAAAGCCGTGGTTGAGCGCTTCTTGGAGTCTTTGCTGACGAAAGCCAACAAGCTTCGAGCTGTGAAAAAGGATTTATCCAAGAACTATGCTGGGAGTTGCTCTGGGCAGGGTACTTACCTGTCAGCTGAGGTATGAATATGTAAATTGACAATATTACATTTCCTTGCTTATATTTTAACTTACATTGACTTAGGCCTATCAAAGAATGCGATGACCACATAAACAAGATCGAGACGCAGTATGAGAAGATGAATGAGCAGTTGGCGTTGGGGTTGAGTGACGACTATTCCAAAAAGTAAGCTCCCAAGTATATTGAAGTTTTATTTGGGTACAAGAAGTGTGTTTTCTTTTTTGTATGCAATCCAGGTGGTGGACAAGCGCGGAGGCATTCATGAGAACAGCAACGATGGTGTCAACGCCTCATTCTTGCGATAATGGTTTTGCATGCGCATTGGTTCAATCAACCATTGGATTATATTGAATTTGTTTTCTCAGGAGTGCCAAGGCAACTGCCACAGAGTTGAAATTGAAGCCTCCAACTTAGCAAGTTTGTGGGTCATCATTAATGCATTTTGGGTATCTTTCAATGCTTCCTGGCTCCAGGAATGCGAAGAAGTTTTTCGACAAGTGCCCGCCAAAAGGCTCAGAAGCGGGGACCGATTCAAAGGCTCAGCCGAAGCGCAAGGCGAAGGCTAAGAAAACTAAGAAGTGACTTTGTCTCACGTACCATTTTGATGGTCACAGCCTTTCTGCTCTTTTCCAGTTGGTGTGACATATAGACACCACTGACTCGTTGTGCCACAGCTGACATAGGTTTCAGCACTAATTCCGGGGTAAGATCGTTCAATCGATCTTGATTCTTGATCTTGGAGGGAGTTGTCAAAAAAAGGTGATCTTGCGTTGAGATCTGTTGTGGTTAAATAGAAGGGGTTCCCTTGCAGCGCATTTGTGCCAGGTCCTGGGCAAGCTCTCCGGCAGTTTGCACACCAAGTCGGTGATGGAGCCCGGGGGGCACAGTGTGGATTCTCCAGCAGGTTTGCACTTGGTCCTCCATTCAAATGCGGAGCAGCTCTTTGCTCAAAGTAGATGAAGTAGGTGATCGAAGCATTGCGAAAGCAATGGAAGAAAGTCCAGAGGAAGAGCTTTGGGATCTTTTAACTTGTCACCGCGATGTATCTTGGTAACATTGATTGCAGTACCCTTCTTGTGGGGACATGTGGGGACATGCTGGTGCATGAAGCAACCAAGGTAACAAATGGTCCTTTCCCTTGGCCACGTCCCCCACAGAGAGAAGATGAACGCGTGCAGGGTTTGTTGACAGTTCAGTGTCATTTGCAAGAGGATCTTTCCACATCCTCATCGCCTTCCAGGTGGCCTAGGTTGCCTGAAGTTCATGTTGATGAGGCGCACCACCATCCTGATCTCGTGCATGACAAAATTAGTTTTGCCTTGCCCAAACGTGTGACAACATCAGGGAGTGTGTTGAAACACGCAACGAATGCTCTGAATTCTTTGTTCAACAAATTTTATCCTTGTACCTTCAAGATAGGGTTCACCTGTGATCCTGTCTCAAGATGGGAAAATACAAAGTATGGCTACAGGTGGGAGAGAGAAAGATGGGAAGGTATGCTTGTAGTATTTCGATCTCATGAACCTTTCAGCCCTGCAATGCTTGAAGCGGCGCTCATTGATAAGTTTAGTTGCACCTTAGCCTCGCATAAATGAAGACTTGCAGTGTTGTCAATGATGATCATGATTCAATGCCTAAATTTTTGCCTTTTTTTGTCCGCCCAGGCAAGCCTGGCTGTCGAAATGTGCGAGCTGGTGGTGACAGCGTCCCAAACGATCCAATTTCGGATGAGGCATCCTACATGACGTACATAGTGTGGAGAAGTTTCAAATTCAAACCACAATGAATGTGGTATGTAATTCAACGTTGGCTCTTGCATGGTAGTGCAAGACACAGTTTCTGTTCATGTTATGTTTGTTGCGCAAATCAGGAGCTTGGGGTCGAAGGTGCAAAAAGCAAACTCCTCACATGCATCTTTCATTCAGTGTCTGCCAGAGTTGGTTTAGGGATTGTGCAGATCGATATGTTCACATCCTGTCGTAAATTGGTGTTGGTGTTGTTGTTTGTTTTTGCCCGGCCAAGGCCCCATGCTCTTGGACAATAGCTTCAGCCCAGGCAGTGGTAGATGAAGTGCCAGAGGCTGCAAACTCGAGCATTCAGTCTTTAGCTTCCTGCAGTCAGAGTCATTCAGAGCGAGATCTACATAAAGTTGTGGCTAAGTTTGAGTTGGCCTTGCCAATCCAACTAACAGATGTGCCAATTGGGAAGGGTGTGACGGTGCCCATCCTGCCTCTTTCACATTGGGTTGAATTTATCATGTCAAAGAACCTCTGGTTTACCTTGAGTGGTCTTGATGAACCCGATGATCGACGCTGCCGTGCACAGTGGTCTCTGTTTTGGACACAACTGCGCAAAATCATGCCGCAACACCCCATTTTCAGAAGGGCAGATGCTGGGGAGGTAGATTTGTCTCGGGTGGCTGGCCTCCTCCTTCATGGGGATGAAGGAAGGACCAAGAAGAAGGGAGCGATCATGATCCTGAGCACTCACTCCATTTTGGGTAAAGGATCTTCGCATTGTGCTTCCACTGAATATGCGAAGCAGGACCTTAATTTCTGCGGACACACGTGGGCTACCAGATGGTTACACGCAGTCCTTCCCAAGGAGTACTATGACAAAGAACTTGGAAACCAGGATGCTTTTGACAGAATCCTTCAACATTTTGCCGATGACGCGAACGCCATCTACGAAAACGGGGTCATGTCGTTGAATCAACAGAAACATTGGGTGGTAGTCATGGGTTGCATGGGGGATTGGCCGTTTCTGACAAAGGCTTTTCACCTGACCCGGACTTTTGGACATGTTGCGAAGGCTGCATCTTCAAAGGCCATACCAAAGGGTATTTGTCATGTGTGTCTGGCCGACAGGCCAGGATATCCGTGGGAAGATTTTGAATCTTCATGTCCGAGGTGGCGGCAAACAATTGGACTAGAAAGCCCATTCGCTCAAGATCCAGTCTTGCTGCAGCTACCTCATTGCAGTGCTCAGCCAACAAGTTTTATAGGACAAGACTTGTTCCACGGCTTCCATTTGGGATGTGGCAAAGTTTTTGCTTCAAGTACCATAGTGCTCCTGCACGAGCTGTTTGAGGGAAGTTCAATTCCAGATCGCTTTGAGCAGATGAGTGCACATTTTTTTTTCCTGGTGCAAGCAGCGAAAACAATATCCTCACATACGCAAACTGACGCGAGACACTGTTAAATACACTGGTGATACAGATTTT